TACGATTTTTATAGGGAATCAGGAAAAGGTTACCAAATGCATTGTAATTATGTGTATTATGTGTATTATGTTTTTAGTGTTGTGCGGGGATTTTGTTAAATTGCTGAAAGTGAAGAGATTGGAGTTGTAGTTTACTTGCATGTTAAAGCTGCCAGTTCCAGTCTAGCACTAGTAATCTGTTGTTCAGGCAAAGTTAGTGTGCTGATCCACTGTTTATGCTCGTGCAGATGGACTAAGTACAGCCTCGAGGCTTCATGTGAGCAGTGGTTCTTTGACTTGATACATTTGCCATGCTGATGACAAATGTATTTTTACAGTGTTTGTACTGCTATACTGCTAGAAATAACTGGGCTGAGAGGCTATTTAAAATACTGCTTTCCTTTTGTGCATATCAACAGGTTTTTGAAACTGGAAAAGGGCTTTCAATTACAGCTGTAGTAGCACCATCTCAAGGAACAGATAGGATTTTAGTAATGTTAATTATTTCCAGCGAGTTTTTGTAGCTCTTGAAACTGAGTGACACAACAATCCTTGTTCTCTGCTTCATACCATATGACAAGAAAAGATAGCTGAAGTATTAGGATATAATGACAGGACAGAACTATCATGTGCATAATAGACAGGTCTTCTTAAGCACTATTCTTTAGTATTAAACTATTCTTTAGTATTTTATGCTGTGATTAATGAAAGTACATGAAATGAACTTAAATTGACTTTTTTTGCATAGGTTTGCAGAAATATGAAGTATTTTGAAATATTTTTGCAATATACAATATAATTTTTTTTCTGGCAATTTTAACAAGTTTTCCACAGACTAGTTTGAGCATTAATAGTGACCAGAGATCTAAATAGCAACTCTTGGTTTTCTTTCATGTTCACCAATGTAAGTTATATTTGGGATACTCTTTATGAAATATTAGAGAAATGTAATGTTTGAATTTCATTTATTGGTTGACTTCAATTATTTATTGTAGCAGTTTCAATTAATCAAGTAATTTTCTGTATCTTGTTCCCTGGCTCACTGGATTATTCCTTAGAAAACAAATACTAAAATATGGTTGCAGTGCCCAATATTTCCAAGGGCAGATTAATTTCTAAAGTCCTCCCCACAAAAAACTCAAACCAAACAGCTGTCCAAGTACTTGCTAATGCTATCTGTGAAGCAAGGTGGCTTTGTTTTCTGGCAAGTGATGATGAAATGAAAGTTTGCGGATTTGCACTGGACATCCTGCAGTTTGTGTCAAGTCCCTTATTTCTGTTGGCCTTAGTTTCCATAAATTGGGGATATTGATACTTTCGTTGTTTGGAAATCATCATATAAAGTCTCCTGCTTCAGATTTACTGTTGCAACCATGTGAATATTTTAATGGTAGTCGTTTCTGAGTATCCTTTTAATAAAACCTTAGTAACGTATTTGCGTGGTAAGTTCAAGATATTTGAAAGTTGCACCAAAGGACATACTCCTACTTGTTAGACATAGGTGTCAGAGCACCTTGTGTGCTTGACTCTGAGCTTAAAGACTATACTTAACAGTTTTAGCAGGGACACCCTCATGCACAGGGGTATATTCAGAGTCAGTGTTCATAGTAGGGAGAGTGTTTTATTTAGAAGGCTTTGCAGGGGATCAACTGGTGCAACAGTTTGCCACAGTGTGTGAAGGGGTTGTCAGAGGCTGTGTAGCATGAAGTTCTGCATAAGCTCACCTTGAAAGCAGCCTTGCATTTTGAACTTGGGCTTTGTTTGTGTGGGTTTTATTCTGATGCTCTTAATGCAACAGTTCGTCGTTCCTGCCTTTACAGACCTGTTGTAGAGAGTGAGTAGCATGGCGTGTGTGCTTCTAGTAGTGTCTGAATAATCTGATACCACCCCAGTGCATATAAATAGTACACAGAAGTATATAATACTGTCTAACCTCTGATATTTGAGAAGATGAGTGAAACTGTTGGAAAACTGGGAAGTGCACTGCACTTTACACTTTTCTGAAGTATAACCTGTTAGCAGTAGTAAGTCTTGGCAATGGTTTTGGGATAATAATGTTTTAACTGCTTTTAGAAAACAAATGCATAACACTTCTCTGCTTTGCATCAATGTAAAGGGTCTAGAAATTTCTTCATCATAGCCAAAGGAAGCTGTGATTGTCAGTGGCTGCTTCTTGGGAGGCAGATTTGCCATCTGGAAAGTTTTCCTAGTTTTTGCAACTTAACATCATTCGCTAGCTGAAAGTATCTTACTTCTGTGAGGTATTGCTAGCTTAGGGATTGTTAACTTAGGGAGTGTTTTATGCTTATCCTGTTCTGTCACATCTGCTCATTGACTTTATCTGTGCCTTCACGTGCATTTTGTGATATGCACTCCAAGTCGTACAACTGTTATGTGCTGGAGTAATAAAGAAAAACTTGTGCACGTCTTGTTTTGTTTTTTTAATGATGACTGGCAAACACCAATAAAGTTAAAAGATACAAATCATCTTTGAGAGACCTGAGAACTTCTTGTCTTCCTGGTAAGAGAAATATGCAGTTGAGTATTACAGTTTTTTCAAGATATGTGTATTCTATCACATGAATTTTACACAAACTATTACATCCACAAACTCAGATCTTTAGATAAATGCCAACTTTACATTTGAAACTGAGAATCTGTGAGCACTGGTCTTTCTTCCACTGGCATAAATATTTCAGGATACTTAGCTTTTGATTGTGATATATCCTTTCCTTGGTTTGCAGGGAGTATAGTTGGCTGAATTAGTATCTAGGTTCACTTTCCACAGGCTGGAAATAAAGCTTCTGCTGGATCAAATCTCTTCCAAAGAACTGCTTAGAAAAATTAGGCCAGATCAATGGATTTCCTTCTTTGCTACACCTTATGCTATAAGACATTGTGGAGACTGATTAGTGTCTCTATTTGAATCATGTAACTTCATATTGTTCCCTCTGTAGAATGATCATCTTAACGAATGAGACTGAAACCTAGGGAAACAGCAGTTTAGTCTTCTCTTTGCCACTGTATATATTCTATAGACTCTATATTCTAAGCAGTTGTTTTAGACCAAATTTATTTTTAGAGGTGGCCAAGACCTGCTACAGTTAATAGACCTCGTTAATGTGACTTGTGAAACTATATCATAATCAACTTCCAGGTACTTTTGAGTCAATAACCTTTCCTAAAAGTAAAAGGATTTGTCCTCTGCGTTTTTTTTCTTCTTTTGCCTGCCTTCATCACAATGCAAAAAAAAATTAAATTAGTATCTTTATCTTACAATGAACCGCAAATTAAAAATTTAGTGAAAACCTAGCCCAGTATTTGGCAGCTGTACTTGGCAGGGAAGAGAAGATGTGGGTGTTGTTTCTCAACAGTTTTATTCTGGGTTTTGTGCTGTGTTGTATAAATACATCCTTGCAAGAGCGTGCATGTGAGCTGGAAACCTGTAGCTCTAGTATATTACACAGCTGATGCCAGGAGGAGGAGAGCATATATAGAAGATCCTCATTAAGAGAAGCTGCATCTTCAGTAAGTCAGAAAAATAGAAATATAGGACTTCATTTAAAGGTGTGGGTTTTTATTTATATTTCTTTATTCAAAAAAGAAGTTATTGTGTTGTAGTAGCAACACTTCAGTAAGTAGAAACTGATGTTTGATCTGCCAAGTGTACAAGTAAGCTTTGTGGCTGTAGGACCAAGACTCTGTGCAAATGCTGGTAGTTATACATGTACATATTTTTTTGCATTTAGAGTTTATATAGGAGAAGTAATATTGCTGAAATATGAGCTTCTTGTTTGTAAGTAACTTTATTATGTATCACATCAAGAAAAATACATCACATTACCTGAAATAGAGAGCTGTGAAATACATTGCCTGAAGTTTTACGATTTTTTCAGTTATTAAGCACTGCTTGATGAACTACTAGTGTCAGTAGATTGGGATTGATGCTATTGACATGTTAAACTTAACCATGAAATCTTTAAAAGATATGAATGGCTTAGAAGGTAAAACAAAGTAGTGGATGAAGTGTTTGGGGTCTTGGCTTGGATCCAGCTTGATGTCCTAAATGAATGCATCATGAAACCACAACAGATCAACCCAGATTTACATGAGTGATGTATAAGAGCCCTGAAGCTAAGCCAACATAGTGATTGAATTAGCTCCTGCATTTAGAGAGGCTTCTCCCTCCAGGTCAGACTTCTAAGCACTGGTGGGCTTGTGTGGGGATCTAGCAGTTACAGATTGAAGTATGCCTACATTTAAGAGGAAAAGAAATCTTAGAGCTTCAGAACTTTTAACTTTGACAAGTGTGACTGATTTTCTTTTCAGGAGGAAAGGGGGAAAACTCTATGAACAGTAATGGAAAAACTGGAAGAATTTCCATTAGTGGTGCTTCGGTCAAGGACCTGCCAATCTTCCTAGAAGTATCTGTTCAAAATCTGAAACATTCTGTTGCTATGGGGTTGATACAGACCTTATGAATTGCCCACCTTCATACAATACCTGGCTTATTCTTTTAGTAAATAATAACTATACTGTAGTGTGATGCTCATAAATTGGAAAATCTTGCAAATGTCTGTGTGTGCAGGTGCCAAAGTACAGCATTTGTGATCTTTATTTTTAAAATATTATCTTATTTTTAATAAACTGATTTTTTAAGTAAATAAATGTCAGATTAAAGACAAGACATAGGGGATGACTAGAAGCATTATTCCTTTTGAGTAATCATGTGTTTAATACAGTTTAGTTTTACAAGATGCAGGGAAATAGTTATTAAAAACAATACAGGGACATGAAGAGTGTCTTTATTCTAGAGATCTGTATCATGACAAAGATGTTGTAAATAGATACTGGAGACCTTCTAAAAATATATTCTACAATTCATATTTTTAACTAGTACCCTCACATAAGATATAGATAAGTTCCATCAACTATTTTAATAATGTTAGTGTTGTTTAGAGTTCTTATTTATGTATGCTTTGATACTTCAGTAACCCAGTATCTCCATTTTTGTTTCTCAGCATGATGTATCACAGACCTTGCTCAAAGCAACTCTGGACAGTGTGGTTGAAGAGTGTGTTAGCTTTGTTGGAGTTGATATTAACATCTGCTCAGAAATACTATTAAGGTGAGTAAAACATTTTCCTATTCCAGTAATTACATGGCTCTGGATCACAGAGTCTCTGTTTAGTCTGCCATCTGACTCAAGCTCAGCTGGAGCAAATGGCTCTTGTGTTAAACTTCCAATTACATGAAAATGACACAGTAAGACAGTATTTTACTGAATCATTAGGAGTCACTTTTTAAGGATCTGTGTTATTCTCCAGGGTAGAACTATTCTTCAGAGAAAAACAGGTATTTAAAGATTTTGAGCCAACACTACAATTTTAGAAAAACGTGATATAATTAATTTGTGTTTTTACACTGAGAAAGGGATTTTCAAATGTACTTTCTGTCTCTTAGAAGGTATTTTTATAGGTACTGCTAAGTGGAACAAGTTGTAAAAGTTGGGCGAGGAAAGGAGAAAAGGAAAGATTTAAGGGGAAACTTGAAAAATTTACTGGGGTTTTTTTTCGGTAGTCATGCCATGTTTACTTGGAAAATGTTCTGTACTTTATTTTTCTTGGTTAGAAAGTAAAAGCTCATTCCTTCTTGAGCGTGTAGAGTTCAGTGCGGTTTAGGTGACAAACTCTTCAGAAGAGCAAAATTGTTGGTGTCATCCTCCATAGTATGAGAGAAAGAAAAAGAATGTCCAAAATCTTGGTAGTGAAAATTATATTAGGTATCAAAGTTAGGAAAAATGTATTCTTGCTAGCTCTATATTTTAATCTTTTACCCCTTATCGTTCTTAAAAACATCTTTTCATATTTTGAAAGAGGGTCTCTTTCTATTCATTCTGGTTTTATATTTTCTCTTCCATATTCTTTTTCTGTATGCCCAGCCCTTAGCCTGATATCTGATTTCTTCTATCTTACCTGCTTTCAAATTTAGATCACCTTTTAGTAAGAAAGCAAGCAGTACCTAAATGGCAAATGCACCCATTTTCATCCATAGAATCATAGAATAGAATGATAGAATATGCTGAGCTGGAAAGGACCTATCAGGATCATCAAAATCCAACTCTTGGCCCTGCACAGGACACCCCAAGAATCACATCCTGTGCCCGAAAGCATTGTCCAAATGCTTCGTGAACTCAGACAGGCTTGGTGTCGTGACCACTTCCCTGGGGAGCCTGTTTCAGTGCTCAGCCACCCTCTGGGTGAAAAACCTTCTCCTGATATCTGATTTAAACCTCCCCTGACTCAGCTCCGTGCCGTTTCCTTGAGTCTTGTCACTGGTCACAAGAGTGAAGAGATTGGTACCTACCCCTCCACTTCTCCTCCTTAGGAAGTTGTAGTACTGTGATGAGGTCTCCTCTCAGTCTCATCTTCTTCAGGCTGAACAAGCCAAGTGACCTCATCTGCTTCTTATAAGGTCTTCCCTCTAGACCTTTCACCATCCTCATGGCCCTCCTTTGGACAGTCTCTAATATGGTTTTTTTTATGTTCCATGAATCAAAGCCTACGTGAGGCCATGCAAGAGGTGAGCATTGCCAGCCTTCTGCAGGATACAGTTATTTTGTGCACTTCAGGATAAACCATCAGCCTGAGGTGCTACACTCTTCAAAAACTTATGAATGTGGGGTGACCCTGTCCAGACGTGGTTATAGTGATAACCACGTTGAATAAGTACTTTGTGTGGTCTAGTTAACCTGGCTTACAATGCTTATGTGCATGTGCCAGCATCAAGTTCTGGATCTAACTTGATCCTCAGCAGTTCAGTTCTGCTACTCTGTGTAGGTGCACTGTAAGTTTCCCTCAGTCATGCAGTTCATGAAATTGTCACCCTAGCTAGATTGTACCATGAGCAGGGCTTTCTGCTTGTGGTTTCTGATGCTTCAAATATACTTCTGGACACATATTACACATGGAAGGGATGACAGTGCTACAGTGTTTGCATTACTGGTGAGTATTGTGCTTGAAAGACTTGAGATCGTCAGTGGAAAATTCTGTGAACTGTGTGATGTGCCTTTGTGTCAGTGTGCTGTGATGTGTCAGTGTAAATAAGCCGGATTTCATAATGTTTCTAAGAAATTTTTGAAGAAAATTCCATTCCTAATGATTAATATTCTGACTGTGGTTAAAAGTGTGTCCCTCCAATTTAATTCTGAGCTTTCACCAACTTTGGATTATTTTTTTAACTTTTGCTTGAGACTTAGAATAATGGAAAGATTTTTTTTTCTTTTTTCTGGAGTTTTTACTGTTTGCTGGTGGTGTTTTTCTGGAACTGGTCCATGCCATTCTGCAAACAGATCTCTGCTGCCGTTGACTTAAAGCAGTGGCATCTGATGTGGAACCTAGTGGGTGACATTTCCTTCTCTAGTGCCAGGAGTAACTGCCCATGAGAGCTCATTTCCCTCTTTCAGTGATTAGCATACTCCATACACAGAAAGTTGCACTCACATGTACATACAGAAAATGTGCAGCAAAGCCACTGCTTCCTGAAGGAACTTGGCTAACTACTGTTGCACTTCACAGGTAAGTTCTTTGCCAGATCCAAGTTACACTCAGAACAACTCAAGCATCTTGTTCCCAGCTGCTTTTTATCTCAAGAACAGCTGAGAGAAAAGAAACAAGCTTTGTGGATTGGTTAAATTGTGTGAGGAAGGCAAGCTGCTCCCAGCCACTCTCTTTCTGGATAGCAGACATCAGCCCTTCATGTTGGGGCAAGATGTTTTGGTACCAATGGAAGAGCTGAGAGGAGGGTGTTCATACAGGAACAATTTATCTGTCCTGAACTCTCCTCCCACGTTGTTTCCTGAAGAGGGCAGCTGGGGGGAAGGCCATAAGACATGACAAATTGAATTGGTGTTACAGAAATAGCCAACAGATCATAAATTACACATCCCTGGCTTACTAGTTAAGCATGTGCAAAACCATATTGCTATGCTAAGTTTTGTTGACTTGAGTGGATTCCTTCCATAGAACTACGAGAAGGGATCCTTTTTCAGATGATGCCTTTGCTCTGGGTGACTTTTTGCTAATTTCTTAGCAGTTTTTAAGTTTGGTCAACCAGATTTTCTACAGAAATGTGTATCCTTGTAATGGATAGTACTTACATTAATGACCATTTGATGGTAATTAAAGTATTTTGTGAACTTTTCTCTTAGACACATTGCAGGACTGAATGCTAACAGGGCTAAAAATATAATTGAATGGCGAGAGAAGAACGGACCGTTTATAAACCGAGAACAGCTCAAAGAAGTTAAAGGTTTGGGTCCCAAATCCTTCCAACAGTGTGCTGGCTTCATCAGATTCAATCAAGAATATATAAAGACCTTTTGCAGGTAATAGAGATTTTACCTATTCTGACTGAATTATCCAAAATAGTACAAGACGACTTTGTCCCCTTTTCTGTTTTGTATTCAAACTTGAGACTCGAGGAATCCTAGACCCTTGTGCTCTGAAGGACAACAAATAAACTTATTGAAGTCAGTGGTTGAAGATAGTTCTTCCTCTGAATAGTCATGACTTATTAGCCTAGTCCTCTAAGTCAGGGTTTCGATAAATTTGTAAATGTAATTTAAAATTCTGTCACTGAATTGGTAGAAGAAACTTGTCATGCAGCAGTATTGTGATCTGAGACATTAAAACTTTAGTCTTGTGTTTTCAGGCATAATTTAGAGATTTGTAAATTAATTAATTTAATTTTGTAAAGATTGTTTGGCAGAACTTAATGGTAGTAAACTAGTGCGGATTTTTTGAGAGTTTCAATTCCTTAACTTGGAGAGAGGAATTTGAATAACTGCCTGGATCAAACTCTGTCTGTGTTATACTCCTCTGCCTAGCAAGCGTGATACAACTGCCTTCTGTCTCAAATATGTGAGGCCTTTTCCCAAGCTCAGTTTTTCAACAGGGGGTCATGTTCATCCCTGTCATCTCATTCCCTAATTCTGTACCAAGTCTTTTCCACTTGTAACCATTCTTAGTGATCCTCTTGATCTGAAATCTTTCCTTTTTACAACTGAAAATGCCCTTTCTAGGGCAATTTCTCTTCTCCTGCCTTTCTCATTTCTCCTTCCAAAATAAAGTACTAAGAAAGGGCACAGTGGTAGCACCGCACCCACCCTTTTGCCAGTGGCTCTTCTCAAAAAATATTTTCCTGGGAAGCACATGCTGTTTTTTAGCCAACCCAATGCTCAGAAGCAATACTGTATTCCCAATTGCTGCTGGCCAAAGAGCACATGCGTAACTTCCAGGCAGGAGGTAGGCACATTAGGACTGGCTTACTGCCCAGATGGAAGGTATACAGATTGGTTGCCCATCTGGCAGGGAAGCATATGCTGCAGGCCAAATGGTGCTCACTGTAAGCACCAGAAGACCAAAGAAATTGCTTCCAAGGCTGTATATGATCGATAGGTCTTACCGTGTACAGATGTGTTCTAGTGAATGCTGGAATACAAGAGAGGAAGAAAGGCTGATGGCTTTTTTTTTTTTCCCCAAAATATTTACTGGTGAAATGTGAACATTGTTTCGGATATATTTTTTTTTTTTACCTTGCTGGAGCATGATTCTGATCTTGGTCAGATTCCATAAAACTTGAGAACACTGTATAACCTGAGAAATGGAGTTTGGGGCCAAATAAAGCTCTAACACCATCACCTCCAGAACATTTCTTGTGGGTCCAAGTGACAAAATAAAAACTTTTGAAATGGATTTCAAGAAGGTTTCATTTTTGTCCTTTCTAATCATGTTGGTGGCTGTAGAGTGTTGTACAAAATACTTCTTGTGCTTTCTACTTAAGTGAACAAATAGTGATTATTTTAAAAATTGATATGGAAAGAGAAAATTTTGTCTGCATTTCGGTCAACAGTTGATGAGTAGAATCCAAAGGACCAGTGCTAGTTCCAGGTCCTTCAGTATGCTCTGTTTTGTCCTCCAAAAGCAGGGACTACTTGTGGTTTAGGAAACAAACAAAGAGGCACGAAAGGAGTGTTTGCAGTAGGAGTCATTGATGCCTTTACTATATTCTGAGCAATTTTTTTATTTAAGAGAAACTTCAGGGGGAAAAGTATGTTGGTTTCATGCGGGGACACTGGCCTAGGATCATCTTCATTGAGAATGACATGTCCATTTTTGATTTCTGGCAGTAATAAGAAAACTGAACTTGGAAGTCGTGCACTTTTGACGAAAGCAGGTGCTCTGGGTAAAAAGAAGAGTAAACCAATACCATGTGCCTGGCAACAGCCCAATCCTTTGGACCAAACTTGTATTCATCCAGAATCTTACAACCTTGCAGTGAGGTAAGTAGTGGGAAAGCTTTTGAAGCATTGACAGCATCAATTTTTAAAATGAAAGTACTGATTTTTCTGTCAACAGTCTGCTCAGCCTTTTGAGACAGGAATACTTATTTTAATTTGATGCTTTCTCCTCTTTCTTCAAGAAGAAGGAGACGTGTGTCTGCTTCAGACACATGTGAGCAACTACCATTACTATGAACCTTTAAAATTAAATTCTGATATTGCAAGATCTAATTAAGATGTATATATAAAGTTCCCACATACATGAACACCATGATTGTTTTACTGAGTCACTGTGATTGTTTTACTGAGTGACCTTTGGCTAAAAGAAGAGAACGGTTTTCGTGTAAGTCAGAAAAAAGTAATTAGGAATTCATGAGTGCCTCTGGTTAGGATGTACTGTGGCTGGTAAATCCTGGTATACGCTGTGATCTTTTCTGTCGGCCCTGGATGAAATTGAACTCTTTCCTCTCCAGAAAACTTATCACCTACCACAAATGAGTGTATATTTATTTTTAAAGTGATTTATGCTGAACAGGTTCTTTTCTTAAAAAGTGCTGGAGCCAGTAGCCAGATGCTTTAAGATTCTTACGATCTCTGTTGAGAATACTGTTCCTGAAGAAACAAACTCGTGCTTCCTGTTTTATAAACAAAACCATCCTTAAACCTCACGCTGAATTTTTGAATTCATGAAGCTTGAGTCTTTACCTGAAAAAGTTGTACAGGACCTTGCATTTTCAGGACACCTTCCCTTCAGGGTATGCCCTGTTCTCTCTTCCTGTATGTAGGTCTTCGTGCTTTCCTTCTGCTGCTAGGCATGCAGTGCACTTTTGCTTCCATCCTCTCCCTGCCACAGTTCATTCTTCTTTGTGCCTGATTCTAGGACCACCATGCAATTTCCTGCTAGAGTCCATGCCCATTGTGCAGTGTGTAGGTAACTGGTTTCTCCTTTTCCATGACCATTTCCCTTTTTTTTTTTATTTACGCATCACCATTTTTTACTAATTCTCTGCCCTGTGCATAGCTGCGGAAAAAAATCAGTCAAGGTCCTGATCTTAATGATCTTGTGTTTGGTAAATGACTTATAGGGTGAACATCCTGTCACCCCAACTGGAGATTATTGAGTTGTGAGAGTTAATGTGCAAAATGAATATAAATCGGTTATTCAAAACTAATTTTGATTTTCAGTATTAAGTTTCATTCAATTTAAATTTCAAGTACTCAGGTTTTGGTTTTTAGCTTTCCAGCCCTAGTCTGCTAATAAAATACTCAGTGAAGTGTTCACATGTTACCAGCTTTACTTAAAGGCTGATGTGGAAAGATTGCTTCAAGTAGCAGAGAAGTATATCCAGTTAATGGTGGAATACTACAGGAATTTACCTACATACAATATTGTCAGAAAGTAAAGAATTGGTACTTGGTTTCCAGAGCAGCACAGGTTACTTTTATATCTCAAGTGGTGAATGGGGTTATTACTGCACAGGGTAGGACAGATATTCACATATACAGTTGAAATTCTGGAGACAATTTTAGTATGTATCACAGATCATATAACCGTGATTTGGAATTTGACTGGGAACCCAGGATTAGCACTATTAAAAAAATAGAATAAAGAAAATTAATGAACACAGCTTTTACATCTCAACCAAGATAGTGGTTTGAGTCACAAGCTTGTACAGGTTTCAGGGAGGAGGCTGGCACCTATTGCACAGCCAGCACTGCTTAGAACACTTGCTGATTCTTCAAATGTGCTCAAGTTCAAACTCATGGGACTTCTAAGCCATTGCAGAAGTATTACATGGCTGAAGACCGGTGTTACCTGTCATGCCATCCGTCTTTGGCTAATGCAATTGTTTTGCAGTAAGTTTCCAGCTGTGCCAGTGTCTCTTCTGTTTCTCACCAAACACTGTCTTCCTAGATTGAATTTTCAGGTGAAGTGTTTAGGTCCAAATGTGTGTTGCAAATATTGTACCATACAGAGTTTTTTTGGGGGGTAGGGGTTTTTTTTGTTTTGTTTTTAATGCAAAAGATTTTCAGTTGATTACAAAACAAATATAAAACAACAGTTACAATATTTGCCAATGAAACACCAAAACTAGTAAGCATAGCATCTGTCTGTAACTAACTGAAACAGTTTTTTGTTTTCTTTGGGCTCTTTCTCTGTTGTCTGACTTCTTACATTTATGAATACCTGTACATGTAGTGCGATGTGTGGAGAAAAAAAGTCTCAAAGTGCTTTCTGGGCTTTCTAAGAATGTACTCTATGTTCAACAGTATTTGTATTTTTGTTTTTCTTGCAATCAAAAGACAGTTTCCCTAAAAGCTTGTTAAATATGGAGGTGATAGCTTCTATGGTATAGATTGTATGAATATGCATCAACTTGATATCACAATTATGGTGTGGGGAAGAAGGCAAATTTTTTCTTTGCAAATAGCTGTTTCAAGAAAAGAAAATACAGCTCTGAAACAAACTGACAAAAGCCAAGAAGTGTAGTGTTAAAAATTGACACTGGTGACATAAGGGCTAAATATAAACCAGGCATCCTCCCCTCAAGCAACTAATGCTATAATTTAGCAATGATTATATATTTTAGATGACTTTTCAAAAAAAAAATATGAGCTGTTAAGCTTCTTAGAACTTACGAAAATGGCTTTCCAAACCTTTTTTTCCCCTGCCTAAATAAGAATTAAGAAAAAAATTCTACCAGGAATTCAGACTCCACGGAGAAGTCAGTCCAAAGCTTATTGGTGCTGTTGACAAGTTTTGCTGACAGACAGTGGATGGGAGTGGGCTTGTAATTCCCTTTTGCTGAGCCTACATTCATGAGAAAGCTTTTGAGAGCCTGAAGATCAAATCATGTTCGTGGTGTTGGTTTGAGGGGTCTTACTGAAATTAGCCAGCATCTGAAGGACTTTTTTAAATGTTAGAATTAAACTAGGTTGAAACTTAATTGATAATTCTTATATCTTAAATTAAAATGCATGAGAAAAATTTAGACTGTTAGATGTGAGTATTTAATACATAAAATTTTAAACAAAGTACATTTTAAAGGAATTCTGGTGCTTTACTCCTATAAAAGTATTTCTTTTTTCTTTTTCTGTGCTTACGCAGAACTTTGTCAGGGACCATGTCAAGTTCACAGGTGGTACAAAAGGGCAGAATTGTTGTCTTGAAGGAGGTGAACTGGTTTGATTCAAGGCATCAAAATACAGTATTTTGTACCTCTTGCCACAAAAATTAAGATGTATGGAATAGCTACTGCATAAATGAGTCATAAAGGCTTTCTCATGCAAGGTCTACCGCATCTTGCTATGAGAAAGGAGTTTGTGAAAGTTTTATTGGATTAAAAGTTTTCATTGAAAATGGCATTTATTTTTAAATTAAATAAACTGGTGATTTTTATCCACTGCTTATAGCCAAATTACCCAGAGGCAGCAGCCCACATTACAGATTTATGACATGCAAAATTATCAGTTTTAAAACAATGTTTTTGAGGGATAGAAATTCACCAAATTTGAAACCACTAATTTTCTTTTTCAGAACTATTTTGTATCTTGAAAAGCCAATCCGTTAAAAAAAAATACAGTTAAAAGAATTACTCCCAAGTGGTGATTTTGGTTGCCAAACTTCAGGCTGTAGCCAATTTTTATGGCTGAATTAGAAACCCCTGAAAAATAGGGTTTTTATAATGGAAACACTGATGTAATCTTTACTGCAGTGGCACAAATGGTGCTGGTATGATTGATTTATGGCATTTAAGCATCTTAACTAAAAATCTGTGCAATTTCTGTAAAATAATTGGAAAACATCCTACTGGTGATTTAACACACTCTGCAGAAGACCAAAACATTTTTGTTCATGGTTTCCACGCTGTCAAAGCTTGGCTTTGGCATGTGCAGTGATCAAGCTTACGAACACCTCTAAATATTTTGAATCAGAGTTTCCTAAAACCTCAAAACTTTATAGACAGCCTATTTTTCTCCGAAGCAAAACTGTACTTTAAGTTTCTTAAAAGTCTATATGTGAAAACCAGTTTATAGTGGCAGAATCTTCTGCAATCACCACAATTAATACAATATGTAGAGCATATCCAATTTCTTGGTACATATTGTAAAAGAATTGGTAGGAAAACTGAGGAAACATTTAGGAAGTCCCCAAAAGTTACAACCAGGTTATACTTATAAACCAAAATGTTGGAAAGAAAATGCAGTGTTGTTTCTTTGTTCTATCAGTCTGCTGGGTGCTGTTGGTTTCATATGACTGAATTTTAACATTTGCTGATTTTTTTATTTAAATCTCATAAAAATGCTTTTTGCTAAAGGTTGGCACTCAGAATGTGTTTTTGCTGCTCACAGTTTGCAGCATCTGGCAGACAGGTTGTATTTTAGCCTGACATAGAAATACTTTGCAAGTATAAAAGACCTAAAGCTCTGATTTAGAATAATGCAGGTGAGGATGTTCCTTGTACCTGGTAGAGGAAAGTCCTGCTCACTGAGGTTGGTTATACCTTAAGAAGAGTTTTGGATATATTGAGCAGAGTGACTTGCAGTGAAGATTCATGTCTGTGAATGCTGCTTGATACCTTGTCATGTCATGTGATGCTGCTTGATATCTCCAGCAGGACTTCAAAATACCAGGAGAATTCAACAAGCACTCATTCATGTGCTTTTTCTTCACTGAAGTTAAACATTTTGATTTGGCACTCATTTCAGCAAGGCATTTATGTTGAAAACCTGTTATATTCCATCATAGGCAGATCAATTGTATTTCAGATATCTCTGGTGTTTCCAGTATTCTTCATGGGTGAATGTAACAGCTGATCCATAGTATCTCATTTGCTAGGCTGAAAAGCTGCATTTGCTAACTTTGAAGGCAAGTACTGGCATATATGAAAATGCAGAAGGAAAACTGCTGATGAGGCCACCGAAAGAAAGAGGACTTCCTCTACTGCCCTTTATGCAACTGGACACTTGTCCTTTGATGGCATTTCCAGCTCTGTCAG